TAGAAACTAAGATTTTTTGCAAAATTTCTCTTAAATGGTCTGAAAAATCACCAAATGAAATAGAAAATAATGTTATTTTGCTTTTTGAAACGTTGAAATATGTTTTTGAGCAAAATTTTGCTAAACCAGGCCAAAACATCACAAAATTAGGGAGAAATTGATATTTTTTGTTCTTTTTTCAAACGTTTTTTCATTTTTTTACCAGAAATGCAATTTTTGCAACATTTTGCTCAGCAAGCTGAAAAATCACCCAAAATAGATCCAAAATATGTTAATTTTTGAAAATTTTAAAGACCGAAAGTCGTTTTTAGGCTTTTTCACAGCTTTTAAGCACATTTTTGACCTAGAAACTAAGTTTTTTTGCGAAATTTCTCTCAAATAATCTGAAAAATCACCAAATGAAATAGAAAATAGTGTTATTTTTGCTTTTTTAAACGTTGAAATATGTTTTTGTGCAAAATTTTGTTAAACCAGAGCAAAACATCACAAAACTAGGGAGAAAAAAAAATTTTTGCTTTCTTCAAGCGTTTTTTCACTTTTTCTTACCCGAAATGCAATTTTTGCAACATTTTGAAACTAAAATATTTTACCTAATTAGAATGAAAATTGTGTTATCTTTAAAGCTTTAAGCACATTTTTGAACTAGAAACTAAGTTTTTTTGCGAAATTTCTCAAAAATCACCAAATGAAGTAGAAAATAATGTCATCTTTGCCTTTTTCAAACGTTGAAGCATGTTTTTGAGCGAAATTTTGCAAAACCAGGCCAAGCGTTTTTTCATTTTTTTACCAGAAATGCAATTTTTGCAACATTTCGCTCAAGCAAGCTGAAAAATCACCCAAAATTGATCCAAAATATTTTAATTTTTGAAATTTTCAAAAAACTGGAAGATGTTTTCAGGCTTTTTACAGCTTTTATACACATTTTTGAGCTAGAAACTAAGTTTTTTGGCGAAATTTCTCTCAAATAGTCTGAAAAATGACCAAATGAAATAGAAAATAATGTTATTTTTGCTTTTTTTAAACGTTGAAACATGTTTTTAAGCAAAATTTTGCTAAACCAGACCAAAACATCACTAAACTAGGAAGAGAATGAAATTTTTTGCTTTCTTCAAGCATTTTTTCACTTTTTTTTACCAGAAATGCAATTTTTGCAACATTAACAAGCTGAAAAATTACCAAAAGAAAGTTAATTAATTAGTGGTAAGTTTATTATTAACGTGCCACAGATGTTTCCTTGCAACTGTGTAAACTCCAAAGAACAATTTTTTATTGTGTCAATGCAAAGCTTATTCCTTGATTGTCAGTTTTGAAATTCGTATTTTATGAGACGGAAATGAATTGTTTACTCAGAAGACGACAGTATGATGAATTTAATTTAAGAATTAATCGCATCGATCGCTGAAAATATAAACTGAGACGCAATTTGGGGCCAGTATTTATGCGTGTCAGTTAAGAAAACATGCCTTGACAGCCCCTTGGGCCCTTCCACATTTTCCTTGTTACGAGGGGTAATAGGTACACGATGCAACATCATTATCTTTGGGAAAAAAAATCTTAAGTTTAATTATTTGTGAGATGTTTCAGCACGCACCCGCGCGTTAGTATTCCACTCCTGCTACATATTTTATATCTTTTGCGGTTATTTCACGACAGGGGTATTATTCGATTCGAATGATTCCGGACAAGTAGCTCATTTCGGGTGACCACAATGTTATTGCTTTCCTGTTTGCACGGGTCCTGTTTGAATGGGGGCGTTTTTTATTCCGCTCACGGTCTGTACTCTCGACACTCTTATGCACCATTCAGCACATCCTGCGCGGTCTCTCAAACTTGGAGGGATTTGCGCGAAATTGGTATTAGAATTCTGAAAGAGGAAGAGGACACCGGAATTGTCCAGCGCACAGACGTGTTCGTCACATTTGCACTGTTAAACTTTTTCGACCACGTCGAGTTTGCGTTCCTGCAAACGTGGCCGGAACACTGATCATAACAAACTTGCAGGACTTTGTGCAGGAAATGCAGGACTGCTGCAACAGTTTTGACTCGAGACCACCACAAACAAATCTGCACCAAAATCAAGCATTGTGAGGAATAGTTTTTATTCTCACCTGAGGATGACCACTTTGTGGTTGAAACGCGTTGTGTTTGCAATAAAAGTTTGGTGTGACGGGTTTAATCGTGTTTTTGTTCATTAATATGGGGAATGCAAATTTGTTTAAAGCAGAATGTTTAATAAAATGTTTAATATGAAATAACAAATAATTTAGGAATTGAAAATACAACAAACACTACGAAAAATAAAAAGAAAATAAAGGAATACGTCAGATTCTGTAAAATACACTGTGTCAATTTCAAAACTTGCAATTCAACTGAAAAAGTTATTAGTAATCACTCAAAACCGTTTTGGTGGTTCCTAGGGGAAATTAAAATGACATGATAAGTGACACACCTCCACCCATCCTTGAATATAATAAAAAAATGAAACTTTAACGTCTTCGTTTTTGAATAATTGGAAAAATGGCTTTACCAAATAGGCTGTTGTATTTTAAAAAACTAGAATACAATTTTTTTATTTTTTATATTTGTCATCTTAGACGAATCACTATGTGGTATGTGTTTCTATTCTAACCGGAATAATTTGAATTAATTTTTTCAAATATTGAAAAATATTGAAACTCAAAAGTTTGTTTTATGAAGAAATAAACTTTTACAGAATAGATAGAATACTCTGCTATTTTTTTACACTCCCATCTTAGTCAAATCACTGTGTAGTGTGTGTATGCAACGGAATAAATTGAGTTAGTTTTAAAAAAATTAAGACAGAAGGAAAAATATCAAAAAAAAAACGTAAAAGTCAAGGTTTCCTGAGTAGATCTTCTAAACTCAAGAAAAACGTCAAAATCAAAAGAATATTGTATATTTCTTTAAAATAGACTTTTACATAATGGATTTTCTAAGATGATGTGATATTTTCTTTTTTAATTAAAATTAAATATAAATAACTATAATACAACTTTTCTACTTTTGTATATTTGTCATCTAATAATGACTAAAAATGTTTAATATGAAATAACAAATAATTTTGCACATGAAAAACGACAAACACTAAGAAAAATAAAAAGAAAATAAAGGAATACGTCAAATTCTGTAAAATATAAAAAACTATAATACATTTTTTTTATTTTTTATACTTGTCATCTTAGACGAATCACTGTGTAGTGTGTGTCCCTAAGTGAAATAAATTTTTCCAACTATTAAGACAGAAGGAAATATATTAAAGGAAAAATGAGAAAACACAGTAAAATGTAAAAACTAAAATCCTATTTACGAAATAAGCCTTTATACAGTAGACCTTCTAAAATAAAGGAAAAGTAAATAGTCAATAAGTCAAATAAACTTTTAGAGAGTGAATCTTCTAAGATGGTGTGATATTTTCTTTTCTTAATATTAGAAAAAATATCAAAGAAAAAATGAGGAAGGCAAAATACCTAGTTTTTTTACAAAATGGACTTTTACAGAGTGGATCTTTTAAGAAGATATTATATTATCTTTTTTAGTTTAAATTAATCATAAAAAACTATTATTCTAATTATTCTACTTTTGCATATTTGTCATTTTAGATAAATCACTATGTTGTGCCTAAATGGAATAAATTGAATTCTTTTTTCCAACTATTAAGACAGAAGGAAATATATTAAAGAAAAAATGAGGAATTAATTTTTCTAAATATTAAAATGGAAGGAAAAAGATAATAAAAAAAAAATTGGAAAACAGAGTAAAAAATAATGTCAATCGCAAAAATCAAAAACAGGTATTTTCTGATTTTTACGAAAAAGCCTTTCTTGGATAGACCTTTTAAAATAAAAAAAAAAACGTCAAAATCAAAAGAATATTTGTTTTTGAGATAAACTTTTAGAGAGTGGATTTTCTAAGATGGTGTGATATTTTCTCTTTTATTTTAAGTATTTTAAACGGAATAAATTGCATTATTTTTTCTAAACATTAGAAAAAATATCAAAGAAAAAAATTAAGAAGACAAAGTAAAACGTAAAAACCAAAAAGTTAATTTCTGTGTTTTTATGAGTAGATCTTCTAAGATGATATTATACTATTTTTTTTTCTATTATTAGGGCACAAGAAAAAATATCAACGAAATCTATTTTATGTTTATTTTAAAGTAAATAATACATATATTTTATATTATTTATTATTTATATTTACTTTAACATACGTTTGGTGTTGGGGAAAATAGTGTGTGTGTTATTTTATCAACGAAATCAAAAATAGAATTTTGATCTGCTATTTTTTATAAAAAAGTAGGGGTTTACAAGTATGTTTTGTCGGAGAAAATAATAGAAAAGCACAACAGATAATGCTCACAAAGGGTCAGTATTGCAAGAACTGACCTTTCATATGCGTCTCAGAAGAGAGACAAAAAAAGCAAAACAGTTGGGGCTAATAATAGTGTGATTGTTGTAATTGCAACACCAACATTTACTTTGTTATAATTTATGTCGTTTTGGCTATAAAAATACGTTATTTCACTCTTTGCGTTATGTTAATTACAGCTTACAATTTTCCGTCTTTAACCTACATTTATGGCTTTAAGTTTAGTTCCAACAAGCGTATACTTAAAATGTCACGACCAACCAGTAATTACTTCTTTATAAATTAATTCCATTAGCAGAGGTAAAATTATCGTCAAATAACTAGGCCAAGTGCTGAAATAAAATATTAACGCTGTCTTTCAGTCGGTTAATTTCGCACCAAAACATCGATTTTAGAACGACTTTCGAGCTTTTTGAAATCATGGTTTTAATCAATTTTAATAATCAGCCGGTTGATTAGTGTCAAGGAGGTTAATTGCCATTCTTTGATTAATTGTCAGGGCAGTATTGATTTTATTTGGCGCACTCTGGTGGAGGGTAGCCCGAGTTGTGGAGCTTTGAGCTTTAAAGCTCGCTAACTTTTTCAGGAATTACAGTTGGCGTTATTTTCAGACTCTCACCGTGCTGAATCCTTTTCACACTCCTGAAGTGGCAGCTTTGCAGGATACTGACCTGGCCGGTCCTCTAGTGTTCTGTTTAGCCTTCGGAGGATTCCTTCTTCTGGTAAGTATCGAGCAATTTTTATTTTTAACCGGATTTTTATTGAATAAATTACGCCCATCAATGTCAAGAGATAAAAATCGATTGATAAGGGTATTGGGTGAGTCCACTTTTTGCAGACTTTACCCTGAAGTAATAATATTTTAGTTATAATGACTCGGAGACACTTGAATTAATTAACTACTTTTTAGATGTCAAAGTGTCTTCAAGCGAGAGTTAATTTTAACGATATTAAAGTGAAAATATTTTTTAGTCGCACGAATTGCTCGAATTCCTTTCTTATGAAATGTTCTTCGGGAAATAAATCATTTTTATTCCGACCCCTTGGAAGGGAGAGTAATGTTAAATGATGTAGTGTGAACACACGGGATTAGAATAATGCGATGGTTTGTGACAAGCGCAGAAACTCCCCCAGTTTCCGCATTCATATCTAGGACTTAGAATTACTAATTACAAGAAAATTTTGCTCTAACGATGTTGTTCTTTATCTACTCTTTGCCAGAGTTGAATAAACACGGTTTCACGTGTTATGAATTCATTTAAATAATTGGTTGAGACTTGGTTCTGGTAGTAGTTTATGGGCCATTAATTATTTTGGGGATTAAACTTGAGCAAATATAACAGTTTTCATATTTTGGATTATTTATAATTCACTGATTAATTGCTATTATGCAAATGTCAAATTAATTATAATATACTAATTTAATACGAAATAAAATAATTTGTTATTCTGTTGCGTTTCAAATTAAAATTGAATTAAAAATGGTGATGAAATTGTATTTCCTCGTGTGAAAAATCCGATTTAATTTATTTGTGAGAATAAAATGAAATTAGTTGTTGAAAAGATATTGTTTCAGCCTTTAGGGGCGTCTGAAGTAACAATAACAGCACTTCGTTTAATTTAATTTTCCCAATAATCGACCAACACGGGCGATTACCCTCATTAGTTGAGCACAACACACAAACTGTGATTCTGTGTCAAGAGTTAAAAGTAAAAATTGAATTTGTGAATTTTTGCCTTTACAACAGTAAAACAAACATTGTGCCAGAAAATTTAGGGGCTATTAACTTCTCTCATTGAGCTGTTTACGACTCAACTACATTGTGGCTTTTACGGTTATTTATTATTCAGAAAGATGAAAGAAGTTCAATCAATTTCTACAAGCAACTCATTTTTGATACAATTACAATTGCAATACAATTGCATCAAATGTTTTTAATTGAAAAGTTGCAAAAACGTTTCAAAGCTTTATTTCTAACGGTATCAAACATAAGAGGCTATTACCAATAAGTCCGGAGTTATTCGCAATAGACCGCTCCGGGTGCCAAAAAACGACCAAAATCTCGACAAAAATCCAAAAAAAAATTATCTTTAAAATTGATCYATTTTACGTTTTTTACATTTATAGAGGTCTTAAAGACTCAAATAAATGCATAAAACGCCATTGGATCAAGTTTAAAAAATTTCGAATTTTTTGAATTTTTGAAGATGAGCGGCAGTAAAATCGTAAAATAGTCAATTTAATAAAAGTCGTAAAAACTTTTGAAATATGGTTTTCTAGACGTAAAATTACTCGCTGAACACGATTCAACTAGTTAGAATACTCTACGATGCATAGTTTTTGAGATATTGAGTAATAAAGTTAAGAATAAGGCTAGAAAAATCCGATTTTGACCAAAAAAACAAATTTTTTTATTTTTATGAAAAACTAGGTTTATATGTAAAATTAACCGTGGAACACGCCTGTACCATTTTGATCTAGGGCTCATAGTTTTTGAGATATTAATTTTTTTTGAAAAAAACTAGAAATGGCTCTGTACCCGGAACTACAACCCGAAGCAATTCCGGATTAGAATAGACAATTTAATGTAGATTCTGATGTTTTTTGGCATTTTGTTCTAACTTTTATAGTTTTGTAGAAAAACGCATTTAAAGTTTCACAATTTTGACTATTTTGACCAACTACATTGTGGCTTTTTTTCGGTTATTTTTTATTTAAAAGATGAAAAAAATTCAATCAATTTCTACAAGAAGCTCATTTTTGGATGGATTTTTTATCACATCAAACGTTTTTAGTTGAAAAGTTGCAAAAACGATTCAAAGCTCTGTCATTTTAAGCGAGTTATGATTTACATTTCTGTGGCATTAAATTTTGCTGTTATTGTCTGGTTTAAGCGGCTTATAAACTCAAATTTTTTGCTTACATATGTTCAAGCAACTTTGCAAAATTATCATATCATTTGAGTTTTAATTTATATTATCCGCAAACGCCACAAAAGTGAACACTTTTATGACTAAATGGAATAAAAATCCCACATTTGCGCGTTTTTACTGGCGAGGTGATCATCAGCATTCGACATTCTGCACTACTAACTGCACTAGTCATCAAAAATCTCAACACAAATTTCAGCTGGATAAACTATCACTTTTACTCCTAATTACGTAATGTATTATTTTAACGAGCTGATGATTTTTTTAGTCCCTAATTACTTAAATTTCAGTCACCTGTGTCTCCAACGAAATTTAATTTTGCAAGGTTTATGAGAATTTACGCAAATTTGTGCTCAAAAAATACAACTCGGATAATTAGTGATTGATTCATGGTGTAGAGTACTGAACAAATTAGTTGTAATCCATTAGCATTCTACATGTTATTTGATTATTGCTTTTTAATCAAAGTGAAAACTGGTTGTTGTAATCGGAATAAACTGCTAGTTTAGCGGAAAATTCATTAAAATGATAATTTTCGAAATTATTTTTTTTTGCTTATATACTTTAGAAACACAGAAAAGCTTTATAAAATGCTTTAATTCAGATTTTGTTTGTAAAACAGGTCAACAACCGTATTATTTCACACACAGTTGGTTAATTAAATCGCAAGATTTGTGTTATTTCCCCACTTTTCTTGTCGCTACAAGTTGTAAGGTGACAAGTCGAAGCTGTGAAATATGCTAAATGGTGGTGCGTATTGAATTTCTAATATTTAAATTTCTCCATTCGATTCCAGCGCCGCTGGCAGTCGACACGGGTGAGAAAAATGAATCGGAAAATAATGTTGAGGCTTTTCCCAGTTGTGTACATAAAAATTTAAGAAGAAATGTAAAAAGTTTCGCATTTTAATTAGGTTAATGGCGAAGTTGTAACAGCTTTTTTAATTTTTTTAATGAATTTTTCTCAAGACATGAGCTTGCCCAGGAGAAATTATTTTTCTGGTCAATGGAAGCGCCTGAAACTCAACTTTTGGTTATTTTTCGAGCGTGAAACTAACTGAAAATGATTTTAATTAGTTCAGAGACGTTTCGGGTTAAAGCTCTATTGAAGCGAGCCCGGAATTTGTTGCTCCTGAAATTTGGGAAAGCATTGATTGTAGAAAGGGGTGAATGACAAACGCTTTATTTATTAACCAGTGTATTTCACCCTCTCCTTACGTAATTCGCCAAAGTGGGGTCCATTAGGAAGCAGAAGGGTGCCATTTTTGGCTTAATGAAGTTGCAATTTTTTCAAATGTGGAGTAACGAGTTTTGTGGTGGAAAATAAAAGTTTAGATGGTCCGATTGTTGAGTGCCTTGGGGGCTGCGCTGACCCTGTAAACAGAGACTCCACATTTTGTTAAATTGTCTCGCTGATACGTTAACCTGTTTTGTGACTCCCGGCGAAAAAGTAAGAATTTTCAAGCTTGCGGCGACGCTTAGATTGCAACCAAAGAAAAGATAATAAAGTTTTTACACGATATCATATTTTCTTCTCGTTAGTAACTCTCCGGATGGAGATTTTTTCTTTATTTATTTTTTGTCATACTAATTCAATTTGCTTTTACCAAAGTTGACGCTTTTTTGAAGTTTGCAACTTTGCCGCTTGAAGGAAAATCGCATCTTTGCGAGTTTTCCTATTTTAGTTTAACTAAAGCATCTAGCAGCACAGCATTGATGAAATAGAAAAGTGAGCTCAAAGTATTACCGAGTTTATTTATAATTTCATAATGGAGCTGCTTTGAACGAAAAAGTATTTTGCCTTTTCATTGCATTAGCTCATATATTCGCTAAATTGTTTGTGGGGCAAATTAAAACCAGCTTTAATATCATAAATAATTTGCGCCATGTTATTGATGTGGAATTTTAAACATCCAGAAAGAATTTATGGTCGATATTTTAATATAGTACACGACTGAAGAAGGCTAAGATCAAATAGTTGAACCTGTTGATCGGTCCACAAACACAATTTACGCCTTTTCCTAAATAGAAATACCTTAAAACCCAATAAATTTAGATTTTTACAAGCGAATTTAGATAATCAGGTTTTTATGCTGCCAGCATCTAAAGAAATTGCTTTTTAAATTAAAAATGGATAATGATTGTATTTAGACTTAAAAATCAATTTTGGAGTTTTTAATCTTGAGATTTTTGGCAAAATATTTTTTTGGTAACGTTGCTTTCTTTAGTCACTTTTTTATTCTATTTACCCCTTCAAGAAAATGAATAAAATTTATCGTTTATGTTATTCTATTTTGTTTTTCCATTTTTCAGAATAATTCAAAATTAAGCTCTTTAGTAGAAAACTCCTTTGTTATTATCTCAAATACTTCAAAACGACAAAACATTTTACTTAAAAAAATTTTTAAATTTTTGGGTGATATTTGAAAGACTGTATCTCAATAAAAAATGGTCGTAATTAAATTAAAAAAATCCATTTTGAAGTTTCAAGTTTCTAGTCTGGAGATTTTTTGTCAGAATCTTTTTTTAGTAAGGTTACATTTTTTAAAATCACTTTCAATGTCAAAAATGAGGTAAATTCTTTATTATTCTATTTACCCTTTCGAGAAAAGGGATAAAATTTATCGTTTATATTATTCTATTTTGTTTTTCCATTTTTGAGATTAATTCAAAATTAAACTTTTCAGTGAAAAACTCCTTGAAAAAAGATTTGTTATTATGTCAAATACTTCAAAACGACAAAGCATTTTACATAAACTTTTTATATACTATTCCAAAAAATTAAGGGAACAAAAAAATTCTTAAATTTTTGGGTGATATTTGAAGGACTGTACCTCAATAAAAAATGGTCGTATTTAGATTAAAAAAATCCATTTTGAAGTTTCAAGTTTCTAGTCTTGAAATTTTTTGTCAGAATCATTTTTTAGTAACGTTGCATTCTTTAAAATCACTTTCAATGTCAAAAATGAGGTAAATTCTTTATTATTCTATTTACCCTTTAGAAAAATGGTTAGATTTATCGTTTATGTAATTCTATTTTGTTTTTCCATTTTTGAGATCAATTCACAATTAAACTTTTCAGTGAAAAACTCCTTTAAAAAGATTTGTTGTTATGTCAAATACTTCAAAACGTTTTACATAAGCTTTTTATATACATACTACTTCTTAAAAATTTTGGTAATTTTTGAAAGACTGTATCTCAATGAAAACTAGTCGTATTTAGGTTAAAAAAAAATATTTTGAAGCTTCAAGTTTGTAGTTTTGAGATCTTTTACCAAATTTTTTTTTGAGCTACGATTATTACGCAATACTAAGAAATAGTGCGAGAGAAAATTCGTTAATTTTTTATTTTTATTTTTTTTGGTTTACGGGCTTGGGGAAATTTTTATCAGTTAAATCAATGCCTGGGCCTGATAGCTTATTCATTCAGCTTTAATTTGTCTTTTTTGTGTTCTCTTTACTTTAATTTGTCATTGAAATATTTGACTTTTCAATGAAAAAGGATCTTTTTGTCTTTGATCATTGATATCTCAGCAACCAATGACCGCACAGAGAATCTAAGAATAGTTTCAAAAACTGGAATAAATTTCCTACAAGATGTTTTAACGATTAAAAAAATAATAATTTTACTTTCAACATTGACTTAAATAAAAGAGAAGTTTTTCTTTGTTATTTTAGTAAATATACCGCATATTCACAAATATTGAAAGAAAGACTAATGTATATAAGTTTTTTTTACAGCTTAATGTACTTCCAATAGCTCTGTAAATTGATCCATCAAACTGTTTTTTCAGATCAATTGATCAAAGTTTTGTAAAAAATTAAAGGAATTAATTGTTCCTGAACATTGTATAATCTTCAACAAAATGGACTTTCTTAATTTTTAATTAATTTTTTTTTGATAATTTGAAAAAAAATCAAAAAACAATACTGACTAATTTTTGCATACCCTGATTTTACTCATCTCTAATTAATTGCATTAATTAAAAGTTGATACACCCAAGCTGTATTCAGCACTCAATTTACGAACATTCAAACAAATTTTCTAAAAAAGTAATTTTTTTTTCAAATTTAGCAGCAGCGTATTATTTATCAAAACACAACAACTTGAAACATTTTGCAACTTTGAACATGTACTATTTTTGTTACACTCTTTATTGTATACATGCATTAACCACAATTGTATTTTTTTACTGTTATTTCTTGATTCTTTCTTTTGTACTATACTAAAAATCATATTGTTCTTAAATGTTCTAAATATTAAATAGCAAAAATAGAGAAGAAGAAATCGTTTTTTCGCGTAATTGTTCTCAAATCCTGCAAGTTATACTTGTTAGAAAAGATGTGAAAAGAAACTTTTTACGTTATTTGTATTTCTAAAGTAGTAACCCGAAAATTTCGAATTTTCCAAGCGGGATCGAATTTAGATAATCAAATTTTTCTTCTGTAAGTGGACTTGCAGCAAATAGAAAGTCAACTGAACAAATAGCTTTTCTAAATTAAGAAATTAGAATTTCCTGTCGTATTTTCCCGCATTGTGAAAGCGCAGAATTTTTCGTGTTTCACTTTGCATAAACTTTTTATATACTATTCCAAAAAATTAAGGGAACAAAAAAATTCTTAAATTTTTGGGTGATATTTGAAGGACTATACTTCAATAAAAATGGTCGTATTTAGATTAAAAAAATCCATTCTGAAGTTTCAAGTTTCTAGTCTTGAGATTTTTTGCCAGAATCTTTTTTTAGTAACGTTGCATTCTTTAAAATCACTTTCAATGTCAAAAATGGGGTAAATTCTTTATTATTCTATTTACCCTTTCGAGAAAATGGATAAAAATTATCGTTTATGTTATTCTATTTTGTTTTTCCATTTGTGAGATTAATTCAAAATTAAACTTTTTGGTGAAATACCTCAAAACGACAAAACATTTTACATAAACTTTTTATATACTATTCAAAAAAATTAAGATAACAAAAAAATTTCTTTAAAATTTTGGTGATTTTTGAAAGACTGTAACTCAATGAAAACTAGTCGTATTTAGATTTAAAAAATCTATTTTTAAGCTTCAAGTTTGTAGTTTTGAGATAGCTTTCAGACCAATTGATCAAAGTTTTACAAAAAAAATAAAGGAATTAATTGTTTATGAACATTGTATAAGTTTTTTTCGACTTTCTTACAATTCAGCATATCAAATTTGAGAAAAAATTTGGAAAAAGTAAAGTAATTTTTTTTTATTTTTTTTGTAAAAAAATCAAAAAGCAATACTGTCAATACTGACTAATTTTTCTATCCCCTAATTTTACTCAACTCAAATTAATTGCATTAATTAAAAGTTGATACACACAAGCTGTATTCAGCACTCAATTTACGAACATTCAAGCAAATTTTCAAAAAAGGTCATTTTTTTAAGTTGTTTTCGATTTTTTTAAATTTAACAGCATCGTATTATTTTTCAAAACTCAACAACTTGAAACATTTTGCAACTTTGAACATGTACTATTTTTGTTACACTCTTTATTGTATACATGCATTAACCACAACTGTATTTTTTTTACTGTTATTTCTTGATTCTTTCTTTAATACTATACGAAAAATCATATTGTTCTTAAATGTTCTAAATATTAAATGCATTAAATTCAGCAAAAATAGAGAAGAAGAAATCGTTTTTTCGCGTAATTCAAATCCTGCAAGTTATACTTATATAAAAGATCTGAAAAGAAGCTTTTTATGTTATTTGTATTTCTAAAGTAGTAACCCGAAAATTTCGAATTTTCCAAGCGGGATCGAATTTAGATAATCAGATTTTTCTTCAGCAAGTGGACTCGCAGCAAATGGAAAGTCAACTAAACAAATTGCTTTTCTAAATTAAGAAATTAGAATTTCCTGTCGTATTTTCCCGCATTGTGAATTTTTCGTGTTTCAGTCTGGCAAGGTGCACTTCAGCTACATTTACGGCATCGGGGTGTTGGGGTGTTTGTCGATGTGGGCCCTCCTGAGCCTAATGTCGACTCAGGGTGTGACAATAGGCACTGTTGTGACAGTTTTGGGCTACTGTCTCCTTCCAATGGTCGGCCTTTCAGGAGTGAACGTAATCCTGAGCTTACAGTAAGTTCCGAATTACAAAGAGCTTTTCTAATCTATGTTTGTTTTTGCAGAGGTTACGTCGGTATTGTGTTGACCAGTGTGGCGATTTTGTGGTGCAGTCTTTCGGCTTCCAAACTGTTTGTCACCGCTCTAGCCATGGATCATCAACAACCCTTAGTGCTTTATCCCTGTGCCCTACTTTACGGCGTTTTCGCTTTGATTACAATTTTTTAAACCCAAACCGGAAAAACAAGGAATGTTTTTGTAAACATTACTCATAATAAATATTAATTAAACCATTCCTGTCTGTCACTACGGATTGATTTTTTTTTATCTTTAAGCTCATTTGGGTTTTGTCCCGAGAAGAATGAAAAATTATTTACCGATCCTTTATTTCGTTGTCAGTCATGAATTATTAACGAACATACATATGTTTGATGGTTTTTCAGAGAATCCTGATAAACAACACGAGACGACTGATTATTTTACTACAAAAGAAAAGATTTCGAAATGTTTTATAAAAAACTAAAATTGTTGTGATTTCGTTTACGAAACGAACAAATAAATTAAACCTCGAGTCCGGTTAAATAAAATATTTGTATTCTCGGACTTGCAAGGACATGTAGAGAGATTTCAGTACTCCCGAGACTGAATTCTTGAGTCCACATGACCCAATTCATTCGACTATTACGTTTACAGCTCTTTACATGCGATTGCACATTAACTTGGTTCACACATATGAATATAGAAGTGCAAATCGTGCAAAGGATGTTCCAGCAAGTTGGTAAAGTCCATTATTTATCTTTAAATGCTAAAATTTTTAAAAATATATAGAGGCAATTGATAAATAAACCGCTCCACAAAAGTTAAAGAAGTGTGCAATAATTACAATAATTAATTAAATTAATGTATTATTAAAAAATAAATTAATAATTAGCTAAAAGTTAGATAAAGGCAGATATCTTTTTACTTTGTTGTTTTTGCTAGATTCTGCAATGTTTAGAAGAATAAAATTTGTTTGTTCTAAATATAATGCGACTTCCTTAACTTTTGTGGAGACGTATATTTAATAAACTGCTCCACAAAAGTTAAGGAAGTGTGCAATTATTAATTTATTATTAATATATTATTAAAAAATAGATTAATAATTAACTAAAAGTGACATAAAGGCAGATATCCTTTTATTTTTTTGTTTTTGCTAGATTCCACAATGTTTAGAAGAATAAAATTAGTTTGTTCTAAAAATAATGCGACTTCCTTAACTTTTGTGGAGCCGTATATTTATCAAGTGCACGTCTGAAATTATTTTCAAATATATAGTGAGTCCAAAAAATAAGTTACAATACAAACTTGGGTTTTTTAAATGAAACACCACATGTTTTTTGGAATTTTTGGATGTAGCTTTTAATTTCAATGTTTTTATATTTTGAAATAAGTTTTTTTTGACGAAAACATTCTTTTTAAAAACTTATTTAAAGATAGCTAGAAAAAATTTCTTTTATCAATGTAAAGAGGAAATTACGAACTGTGAAACTATAATTTTTTTATGTATTGCAGTCGAAAGGTTAAAAAAGTGTAAAGATTTGTCAGTCAAAAAAAAAATTATGATAAACTTTTGTTGGTCGATTTTGCATAGTTTTTGAAATAAATTGGTTTTCTTGACAAAAACATGCTTTTTTGAAAATTTATTACACCAAAAATTACGACGTTAGAAAACATTTCTTTTACCATTGTAAAGAGGAAATTACAGAAATTTCATATTTTAGTTAAAACACGTGCCTCAGGCTTGAAAAAGATAAAAATAAGAATATTTTTGACCAAATTCGATGTGTTTTAACGAAATTTGTAAATAAAGTAGACAAAAAATGTCGAAATAACTAATTTTGTGTCTGATAAAATGCAAAAATTATAGGAGTATAATTTTCGAAAAATTTTAGCTTTACTTCAAAGCGTGGTTTTCAAATTTGGAAAAATGTAAAGATAACACCGTTTTTGCTGAAATTTTGTGTTTTTCTGGTTATTTATGACTAAACCTTGCTCAAAAATGAGATAAATCAACTGAAACAAACGAAATATCATCGATTTTGATTTAATTTTTTTGATTTTTAAGGGCGTTTCGGGAAAATTTTGCAAAATAATTGAGTCTCTGCTTCAAAAATAAAAATCAAGCTAAAGTAATGTTAATTTCGATGTTATTTGGTGATTTTACAGCGAGTTTTAACGGAATTTGTAAAAAAAAGTAGACAAAAACGTGCTAAAACACTCGAATAAGACAAAACTATAATTGTTTACCTAATTACAATCTTTATGAGAAAAAAAGCATATCGAATCATTTTTTATTTCTTGTGGTAATTTTTCGACTAGTTTTTGAAAAAATTTGTCAAAATAATTGAAAAAATGCAAAAACTATATTATTTTCGAAAAATTTTAGCTTTAGTTCAAAACGTGGTTCAAAGTTAGAAAAAGGTAAAAATAACATTACTTTTGTTCAAATCTTCTGTTTTTCAGCTTATTTTTGACTAAATTTTGTTCAAAAATGAGATAAAACAAGTGAAACAAACAAAATATCATCAATTTTGATTTACTTTTGTGATTTTTAAGGGCGTTTTAAGAAAATTTTACAAAATAAATGAGTCCCTGCTTTAAAAAAATCAAACTAAAATAATGTTAATTTCGATATAATTTGGTAATTTTTCAGTGAGTTCTAACGGTATTTGTAAAAAAGGAGACAAAAACGTGCTAAATTAGTCGAAAAAGGCAAAAATGAAATTTTTGACGTAATTTAACAATCTTTTGTGAAAAAAGAAAGCAAATTTAAATCATTTTGGTGATTTTTCGATTAGTTTTTCAAAAAAAATGTCGAAATAATAGATTTTCTAACTGAATTAGTTCAAAGTTTGAAAAACGTAAAAATAACACCGTTTTTGTTCAAATTTTGTGTTTTTTGGCTTATTTATTTTCAGGCGATGTACTAGTTTTGTATTTATCAATTTCCAATATTTTTTTTTAAATTTTCACAATTAAAGGTCAATAATGGACTTTACCAACTCGTTGGGACACCTGTATAATAATTTCCATCACTGTCTTTAAGCTTAATTTGCTTTATTGTGTCAAGCAGGAAAAGAAACTGAAACGCGTTATTGGATCAAGTATCCAAGAAGTGTAATCGATAAAGTCGAGTAACATTTAAATCTGTGTCTTGGTGGAACTTAATTTTTTCTACCACCACTATTTTAAACTCCACTTTGATCTCAGAAGAGAAAATGTAGTGTTAAAAACAAGCCTGACTGTGTCAAGGGAGAAAATTTTTAATGTCTTTAACCCTGTGTTAATAACTCATTTCCTAAATGATTGTGACGGCTCTAGATAAGAAGAAAATTGACTTGTTGCTTAATCCCTTTGAAGGATTGTAAAGTCGTTTATTTTTCCCATTTTTCCTCCGTTTGTTATTTCAACAAATGTATTAAAAATCACTCAGTCTCACTAATTAATTTTCTCATTACGATAAAAATTCTACCTCCAAAGTGAATTTTCCACCGTTTCAGCACATTTTTCCAAGTCACATTAACGTTCTAACATAATTTACCCGAAATAACGTTTATGCAATATTACATTTTGTTGCCACCTCAGCTTTTCCGAGCCAGTCAATGATTCTATTAGCGTCAGATGCTGAAAGGTAAGTTTCTATTGTTATACACACTTGACAAGAAAAGCTATTTTCACGAAAAATCAGGAAACATAAGTTTGAATTTGATTACTTCGAAAACAGTCCATTGATAATGGCCTTTTTCCGATCAAAGAAAAAAGAGAAGGCTATTATACGTTGCTTATTACTCCACGACTGGAGGAGATTAAGTTATCTTCGCCTTGGAGAAAAAGATTACAAGTTTGGAGCTTATGTCCGAATTGTGCTTTCATTTTTATTAAAGTGGATCACACTTTTAAATTTTTGGGCTTATTTTTCCCGGCACGTTTTAATTTTAGTTTTTCTTTACAAACTATCAAGATTACTGGATTTTAAAAATCGATATTAATTTACTATGATAGCAATTTAAACAATGCTCGGCCTTGTATGAATATTCATGGAATTTCGTGGCGGTTTTGTTGAAACTTTCAATCCGAATAAAGCCCCACAATATTGAATACTACCCCAATTACTTTTATTCATATTCTAATTTAAGAATTGTGCAATTATTGGTCAAATATTTCCGGGGGATTTGGAACTATACAGTGTGTCCAAAAGATAAGTTACAATAGAAATTTGGGGTTTCTAAATGAAACACCACATGTTTTTGGAATTTTTGAAAGTAGCTTTTAATTTCAATGTTTTTAAGTAAAATTTATATTTTGAAATAAGTTGTTTTTTTTTACGAAAACATATTCTTTTTAAAAATTTATTACACAAAAACAGTTAGAAAAAATTTACCTATGTAAAGAGAAAATTACGAACTGTAAGATGCAACATTTTTTATGTATTGCCGTCGAAAGGTTAAAAAAGTGTAGAGATTTGTCAGTCAAAAAAAAAAATTTCATGACAAATTTTTGTTGGTCGATTTTGCTTAGATTTTGAATTAATTTGGTTTTTTTGACGAAAAGAAGCTTTTTTGAAAATTTATTACACCAAAAATTAAGACAGCTAGAAAGCATTTCTTTTACCATTGTAAAGACGAAATTACAGAAATTTCAGATTTTAGTTAAAACACGTGCCTCAGGCTTCAAAAAGTTAAAAATAACAATAGTTTTGACCAAATTCTGCGTTTTTGCGGCTTATTTTTGACTAAATCTTGCTCAAAAATGAGATAAATCATGTGAAACAAACGAAATATCATCAATTTTGATTTATTTTTGTGATTTGTAAGTGCGTTTTAGGAAACTTTTACAAAATAAATGAGTCTCTGATTCAAAAAAAAAACAAAATAAAAAAATTATGTCAGTTTCGATCTGTTTTAACGAAATTTGTGAATAAAGTATTCAAAAACGTGCTGAAACACTCGAAAAAGGCAAAACTGTAATTTTTAACGTAATTTAACAATCTTTTTGAAAAAGGAAAGCAAATTTAATTATGTTGATAATTATATAATTTTCCAAAAATTTTAGTTCAAAGTTTGAAAAAGGTAAAAATAACACATTCATGGAATTTCGTGGCGGTTTTGTTGAAACTTTCAATTTGAATAAAGCCCCACAATATTGAATACTACCCCAATTACTTTTATTCATGTTCTAATTTAAGAATTGTGCAATAATTATTGGTCAGATATTTCCGGGGATTTGAAACAATAAATCTGGAAAATGTGCGATC